TTTGTCATACTGCCCACCCCAATTTACTACAATCTTAGCTATGTTGTTGTGTGTTTTTCTTTTTACAATGTTATAGCCTTATGGGCAGCACTCCAATATATAGTGTGACCTGAGCTTGAGTCCCGGCTCTGGGACCTTTCCTGATTCCGCCCCCTTTATTTTAAGGGTGCAAACATCCTTTCATTCCTTTATTTTAAGACTGTGCAATTTACTGAGGCTCCCATCTCAGTAGGTTAAAGGCCACTACTGCTGTTATTATTAAGCATTATCAAGAGGAGGAAGATGTGGTGTGTAAATGCGTATTCTGTGATTGTTTTACAATATCATGTTTTGGCTATGTTGATGCTTATTGTTAACATTTGAAATATTGAACACTGGAGTAAGGCTACCACCATGCAGCTTTTAGACAAAAATATACAGCAATGATCACACACACACACACACACACACAAATGATATGTATGCACACACATTTTTTGGCAAACATACACTGAAGAAACAGAAAGTCTCACTTGCAAGTTTTATGATTTTGTGGAACCAAACAATCTCTTATAACAGACTCTCATGATCGCACTCCTGGCTTCTGACTAGACATTCCTCAAATCCTGATGGCCACAACAGTGGTTTTAAAGTTAGACCTATCTGCTTTTACTAATACTTACTTTCCTCTTGGTCTTGATTGAGATGAGAATATTCGGCAGCAGATATTCGGGGCTGAGGGAGCAGTAGAATATGATCACTCCAGCCAGAAATGACCAGAATATCATGAGAATATGGAGATATCTGGAAAGATAAGGGGTATAGATTTGTTAATCACCAATCATAACTGGGATCATTTGCATATACAGCTCTTAAAGGTACAGTAATTAGCCTGTTCAATTGAAAGAGTCAGAGAGAGGGTGGAAAATGATCATGACAAACTAAACCGGTACAAAAGTTTTGGTGCAAAAATCTTGTTCGACAGGGGAAAAAATAAAATGCTGCAGAATATGTCTTGATTAAGATACTCACTGGTTGAGGATGACGGTGGAGGAGATCATAAAGATGAAGATACAGAAAATGACTGGATATTGACGAGCAACATCCTTAAACACATCTAACCGCAGACCTCTCCTCACAAACCCCAGAACTGAGTAAGGGTCTGACATTATATCTAAAAAAGAGAATCAATCCGAAAGTATCACACTATAAATCATGTTTATTGTTTAGGCACAACAGTGGTGTATTGTGCTGATATTTGATATTGTGTGTATATCATGGTACTAAATTACCATATTCATGTGTTTACATGGTACACAGTTCCAAAACTATCATAATATCACCATGGTAACGTTACCATTTGCTAAACAGAGTAATACCATAGTACAATACCTATTTACATTTATATACGTACACAACACGTCAAATATGATCATATTCTCATGGTATTTATATGATTCTCCAAAGTACCTGCTACCTTTCATAAGTATTATACTTATAAATAACCGTAGTGGATGATGATAGTCTGCTAATCTTAACCTGCATATGTGTAAACAGTGTAAATAACACTCACGTATTTGCTCTTAGATGACAGTTTAAGTGCGATATTATAGTTCTCTCACCTCACAGACGAAGCGCAGGTCTGATATAAACTCTAAAAACATATTATAAACGCTTCCTGACACCAGTGTTTTGATCATTCAGCTTATTGTTTCACATGATCAGATTACTGATCATTACGCGAGCTGCACTTCCGGGTTGCAGCCAAAACAACGTTTCAAAATAAAAGTCCGGCCTCTCAGCGACAGCCCTTACAAAATAAGGTGAGTTACGTTGCCACAGTAGGCTACATTCGAAAGGAAAAATACAAAATCTGAGTTTTAATATTCTTTATCCCATAGCGTTGCGTTCACGGGATCAGATATTATAATTCACTATATAATCATAACGTAATGTCTGTATAATTGTTGATTCTGGTAGTCTGACAGTGATCCAAAAGCACCTGTGGTTCATGTTGTGTTTATCCAGTGTTCATCTGCTCCCTAATAAAATATTAAGGGGTCGATCCATAAAAGCATTACCCTCATCACGAGACACCTCCAGTCACACTGCCAGAGTCATGATATCTCTTACAGATAAGAAAAAGTCATCACCATTTTTCACAACTTTTTGGCCTCTAATCAACAAATAGCAAGAAAATGCTAGTGTTCCCTTACGAAAAAGAAGTTTATTCAAGTGTGTTCAAATTAGTATACTTCTTCTAAACTAAAAAATAGGAAAGTATACTTTTAGTCTACTTTTTATGTATAGGGACATAGTAGTATACTTAAAGTATGATGTAAAGTTCACTTAAAGAAAACTTACGAGTATACTTGCAGTATAAAACTAGTACACTGATATTTGTATACTTAAAAATATACTTGAACTTTACTTAAGTATACTTAATAAAATAAACTTGAAGTAAACTACTTTTTTAAGGGTTTGCTTCAGAAAATGGGATTTGTCCACCGCACTAAATACAGAATTTGCATACCAGAATTTGAAATGCGTTTGATTAGATTAAAACCCTGATTTGTGTATCCTATATAAACATATTATCATATTATATCATATATAAACACATTAATGAAATCCTTAAAAATTAGAATAAACTACGTCAAAATGGGTAACATGGTTCAATAGATTTAGCCTAAATTAACCTGTGTTAGCATAGGTAGTTTAATTGGTCCAAAATGTTGGTTTATGTTAAACACATTGTCCATGCATAAAATGAAATATACTGTATATCATTTAACTTTGGTTACAGTGATTAATGATTGAGGCAGGCATATGGGATTTCAGACTTGTGCTTTAAAATATTCTGTATCCCAGTGATTCTCAATAACCACACAAGGAGGCCTCAGCAAACCTCTAATCGAGCTATAACACGAGTAAAAGAAATAGGCCTAATATTTAAATTAAAATCTAACAGAATAAAAACCTAAAACACGCAGTTAAATTTAAAGGGGTCATATGATGCGATTTCAATTTTTCCTTTCTCTTTGGAGTGTTACAAGCTCTTGGTGCATAAAGAAGATCTGTAAAGTTGCAAAGACTAAAGTCTCAAATCCAAAGAGATATTCTTTATAAAAGTTAAGAGTTAGCCACGTCTAC